GCCGACGCCGAAGCTGAAGTGCACAGAAAATGGAAAGGGCCCACCCTGCAGTTTCGGTTGGCAGCACATCGTTTTAGTGGTGTTGCAGCCTCCCTTGCACACAGGCAGAGCATCAGCCAGACAAGTCGATTTGCACCCTCATGCTTTGCTGTGTTATGGGCGCGCTTCCGCACTGTCACTGCCACCACTGCCCCCTCGTCGGGACCGCCGACTCGTGTGACGGCGACTGCGACGGTGGCGGTGGACGACGCGTCCAAGGCACAACCGCAGCAGTAGCAGCAGGGAGAGGAAGCAAGACCGACGAGGACAGCAAGACACGACACGACACGGCAATACAAGACGACACAAAGGAGAGCACCCGCGTTCTTGCCACCCAGAGCGCCCGCCAGACTCCTCCTTGCGTAACGGGCATCACCAGGGGGCGGGGGGAAATGGGGGCCTGGTGATGTAACGTTTTGCGCCCGCGGGGCTCTGGGAAAAGCCCAGAAAGGTCTGTTCCCAGACCCCGCCGACGCCGAACGTTATGTCACCAGGGGGGTGGGGGGGGCGGGGACAGTCTCGGTGACGGCCGTTATGTACGCCGATCTTGTTGTCTTGGCTTGCTCCAGGGAGGTGCCACGGGAAGGCGGGAGAGAGGGCGTGCGAGGGGGGGAGGTCCTCAGGAGGCAGTGTTTGTTCGTGGTCGTAGTGTCGTCCTCCCACCCACCTTTCCTTCCTCCTCCCCCTTCTCCTTCTTCTCCTCCTCCCCCTCCTCCTCTTCGCTTCTTCCTCATCCCTTCTTCCGCAGGGAAGCTCGGGCCAGCGTCTGGTTGGGGAAACGGCGTTCAATGTCATCGCAGAACGCCAGCGGTGGCTGTGGGAATGCAGGCGGAGTGGGTCCAGGCGGATTCCGAATGAAAAACGCCCGTGCCACAAGAATTTGTGCATAAGGGGGAGCGACGTTTACTACCGTCCCATGCCCAAACCTGTGATAAGGGTGTGGGGGCTGCATCTCTTCTTGGCTCTTGTGGCTCACGTGGCAAAGAGCTGATCTCACCCCGCCACAGTCTGGGGCTTTGTATTCTATCTGGCATGTGTTTAAAACTTTCGCCGTATCCTTTATTTCTTGCGCTTCCCGCTGGGAGGAGGGGTGGCGGGAAGAGCAGGAGGGGGGGAGGAGGAGGAAGAAGACGCTGAGGAGGGGGGAGCGATTGCATAAGATTGTTCCCGTTGAGCTGGCATGCGGAAGCTTCGGACGCAGCTTCCCTTTGTCAAGAGGCCTCGGAGGAGCGGGAGGATGGAGGAGGAGAGGGAGCAGAGGAGGGGGAGGAGGAGCAGGAGGAGGAGGAGGAGGAGGAGGAGGAGGAGGAGGGGGGGGAGGAGGTGGCGGAGGAGGACGCATCAGGACTCATGAGAAAGAGGACGCCGAAAGTCCAGTACTTCCGAACTGAATTCGGAACAGAAGCAAGAAACGAATCACTGCTCAAAGCAAGGACTCTCTGGCATGAGGACTGCCTTCGGTGGACCCAAGGGATGGGGATACCTTATCCAAACTAATTCTCGCCAAATTCTGTCTCCGTTCAGGCGTGGTGGTGCACAACTTCATTAGCTGTCGGGGGTCGGTGCTGCAACTAAACCCACAAAAACTACGCAATATCAGGCAATAGTTACCCGAATCTGGCAGTGTGTGAGACTGGTGAAGGACTTTGCCGCCGACACGCTGCACCTCACGGAGAGGCTCGCATTCCCGAAACGCCTTCACACTACAGGAGGTCTCAAACATCTGAAAGAGCGTGTTCTACCGCTGCTGGCGGATAACCGGGGGGGGTCACTACCGGTTCGACCCCCCCCCCTGGAAAGCCGGGGGGGTCACTACCAGTTCGAACCCCTCCCCTCCTCCCCCGCCAGTCCATCATGAAAAGGGGGGGGGTGACTACCAGTTCGAACCCCCACCCCTTCGAACACCGGGGGGGGTCACTACCGGTTCGAACCCCCCCCCCTCCAAAACCGGGGGGGGTGCGGACAGTGGTGGGGACGGTTGTGGTGGGAACAGTGGCGAGGGGACAGCGGGACAGTGGTGGGGACGGTACTGGTGGGGACAGTGGTGAAGGCGGTGGTGAGGACAGTGGTGGGACAGTAGCACGGTGGGGAAAGTGGTGGGGACAGTGGGGACAGTGGGACAGTGATGGGGACAGTGGGGACGCTGACAGCGGCGGGGACAGTGGGACAGTAGTGGGTACAGTGGGGACAGTGGGGCAGTTGTGGGGACCGTGGGGAAAGTGGAGAGAGTGAGACTGTGGTGGGACAATGGTTGGGAGAGTGGGGACATTGACACACTGATGGGGGCACTGGTGGGGACAGCGGGGACAATGGTGGGAACAGTGGGGACAGCGGGACAGTGGTGGGGACGGTGGTGGTGGGGACAGTTGGGACAGCTCAGTGGGACAGCGGAAGAGACAGTGGGACAGTGGGGACAGTGGGGACAGTCGGGCAGTTGTTGGGGCCGTGGAGAAAGTGGGGATAGTGGAACCGTGGTGGGAACAGTGGTGGGGACAGTGGGGACACAGTGGTGGGGTCACTGGTGGGGACAGTAGGGACGGTGGTGGAACCAGTGGGGACTGGTGGTGAGGACAGTGGTGCTGGGAACAGCAGTGGGAATGTGGTTCGGACGGTGGTAGGGACCGGGAGTCGTTTGCTGGCGGTGAGGGGGGTGGGGGAGGGGTTCGAACCGGTAGTGACCCCCCTCCGGTTTCCGAGGGGGAGGGGGGGGGGTTCGAACCAGTAGTGACCCCCCTCGGTTTTCGAGGGGGGAGGGGGGGGGGGGTTCGAACTAGTAGTGGCCCCCCTCTGTTTTTGAGGGGGGCCCGGGGGGTTCGAACCGGTATACCGACCCCCCCCCCGGGTTTTTGAGGGGGGGGGAGGGGTTCGAACTGGTAGTGACCCCCGGTTTTCTGGAGTTCGAAGTGGTAGTGACCTTCCTCTGGTTTTTTTTTTGGGGGGGTTCGAACCGGTAGTGACCCCCCCTGGTTTTCCGAGGGGGGGGGGTCCGAACCGGTAGTGACCCCCTCTTGTTTTCTGGAAGGGAGGGGGGGGGGTGGGTAGGGGTGGGTTTGCCGGGGGAAGGAGGGGGGGGGTCCAGCCGGGGGGGGGATTTTCGGAGGGGAGGGGGACCCCTGGGTTCTGGAGGAAGAGGGGGTGGAATTTTCCACAGTAGAGCGGCGGTGGATCACGCTCTCTCAAACATCTGAAGCATCGAATCGTGTTTGGAAACCTCCGAACAACTGGCACAGTGAAACTCAGCACCCGCCCTGCTGCACCTGTGCTCAGATGGCTTCAGAGCGCGCGCCGACGTAGGGAGAGATTTCTGGGTTTCGGCGTTCGGCGTCACCGCGGTCTAAGGATCGGCCTGGATCACATCTCCCAGGCTCTCCGCGCCCGGCGTCGCACCCGGGCCGCTTCCGCATCCCTACTGTCTGTGGGAGGGTCCCAGCACACGGATTTGGACCAGGCCGTTTCGGCCATCGCCCCAACACAAGCGTCCGCACACTCGTTGCCGAACGCTGGAAAACACGCTTCTTGCTCCAGGAGTGCCCCCTCCCTCTTAGTGTGAGGAACCCATTCAACTGCTACCTGCGCATCAGGCTCTGGCTCGAAGCGCAGCTATCAGCATTAGCCCCCCTCCTCCAGGGACTCAAAACCGAACTTCTGACCTTTGGCCCAAGCGTCTCTGACATGAGGAGGAGGAGGAGGAAGAGGAGGAAGAGAAGGGAGAAAAGGAGCAGAAGGAGGAGGAGGAGGAGGAGGAGGAGGATGAGGATGAGGAGGAGGACTACGAGGATAAGGAGGAGGAATATGATGATGATGATGATGATGATGATGATGATGCTGATGCTGATGCTGATGCTGATGCTGATGCTGATGCTGATGCTGATGCTGATGCTGCTGCTGCTGCTGCTGATGATGACGATGATGATGATGATGATGATGATGATGCTGATGATGATGATGATGATGATGAGGAGGAGGAGGAGGAGGAGGAGGAGGAGGCGGAGGAGCAGGATGATGAGAAGGAGGAGGAGGACCAGTGCAAACCCAAGATGCACCAACGATGTAACAATATACCCTCCTTCCACGTTTCATCTTCACAGGTCCCTAGAATGATATGTGGTCGCTGCGGGGAGCTGCCCAGTAGAAGACAACCGTCGGAGAATCTTCAATCGTGCCAAACACCCAGTTCCTGGGACTTCAACGTTGTGGATCAGCATGACTGTTGCGTCCAGACAGCCCTAAACCGTGCCAGAACACCGTTTCTGGGACTGTAGCACCGCGAGTCCATGTGACTGTTGCGTCTTGACGACCCGAAATCGTGCCAGAACAAAGTTCCTGGAGCTTCGTCCATACTGGTCCTTGAAGCTGCTGCAAACATTGAAGACGAATGCGTGCAGCACTAGCGCAAGGGCCACATTTCGAAAAGGAGCCGCCCTCCATATTTTGCTACAACTTTTGAAGACGCATTGCGCGACGCTACTGCGAGAGCCACATTTTGAAAACCACCCGCCCTGCATCCTTGCAATTGCTGCAAACCTTTACCACGAAAGTGTCCCGCGCCACAGCGAGAGCCAAATTTTGAACACCACCCGCTTTCCATTTTCGAAGCTGTTGCGAATTTCAAGCGTCAGGATCATACATGGCGAGGACGCCTCAGGCGAAACGCCTGGCCTGCCCTACCGTCGCCTCTGGGGGTGCGACAGGGAGGAGCTGTTGTTAAGGAAAACGGGTGGAGGAGGAAGCGCAGCAGGAGGATGAGTAGGAGCGGAAGGAGGAGGAAGAGGAGGAAGAGGAAGAAGAGCAGGAGGAGGAGGAGCAGGAGGAAGAGCAGGAGGAGAGCAGGAGGAGGATTAGCAGGAGGAGGAGTAGGAGCAGAGGGAGGAGGAGGAGGAGGAGGAGGAGGAGGAGGAGGAGGAGGAGGAGGAGGAGGGGGAGGGGGAGGAGGACGAGGAGATTGCAGCCCTGGTGTGGAGGCGGCGGCAGCAGCAGCGACGAGCTCTGCTCCATGGCCGAGGAGCCGCCACACCCGGCCTCGCCGGCTCGCGGCCCCGGAAGCTCCTCTCCCGCCCCCTGCCTCGGGCGCAACGCTGGAGGGGGGATTAGCTCAGGGGGGAACATCTCCATGGAACTGGCGATACATCGCCGATTGCTCGGAGATAGGCCCACGATAGCGAATCCACACTCTTCTGGGCGGGGTGGGTTTTGAGGCTCCGATCGGCGATCCATGGGCGATCAGGGGTCGATATGCATGCCCCCCTAAGCTAATCTAGGGGAACAAGAAGTAGCATAAACATAAAACCTCGGAGCTCCGCGCGGATTTCTCGGAGCGGCGCTGGGGCCCCCTGGCGGCGCCTCCGGCGCCGCCCCTGGCGCGCTCCGCGCGCCAGGGAGGGGGAGTGGTGGGGAAGACAAAAAAACCAAAAAATACAGGAAAATATAAAGAATATTTCCCGGAAAGGGCGCGGGCCCAGGGTTCTCTTTTCCCGGAAAGGGCGCGGGCCCAGGGTTCTTTTTTAGTAGGTTAACCCCCCGGCCCCCCTGCGACTTGGGCCGGCGAAATTATTCTGCGATAAATTTCGTGCGGGAGTAGAGCCGGCGGAATTATTTTTGAGGATGTCTCGAGCGAAACGCTTGTTTTTCAGAATGTGTTGAGGATGTCTCGAGCGAAACGCTGGTTTTGCAGAGTTGGGGATGTCTCGAGCGAAACGCTTGGTTTCAGAATTTGTTGAGGATGTCTCGAGCGAAACGCTGGTTTTGCAGAGCCGACCGCGACACGGAAAAGCGCCCCTCGCGCAGGAATTCTGAGGATGTCTCGCGCGTGCCGCGTCCCGCGCGCAGGAATTTAGATTTCTTGGGATTTTGACAGGATGTCTCGAGCGAAACGCTTGTTTTTCATAATTTGTTGAGGATGTCTCGAGCGAAACGCTGGTTTTGCAGAGTTGGGGGATGTCTCGAGCGAAACGCTTGCTTTTCAGAATTTGTTGAGGATGTCTCGAGCGAAACGCTGGTTTTGCAGAGTTGGGGTATCTAACATGGCGTCGGGCCCAACGCCGAATTATGAGGAAAAGTGATGGCTTCTTGCTCTGAACAGGGGGGTGCGCTTTGGGGGCCTCTCCAGGGAAGACGTTGTGAGGATGTCTCGAGCGGGAGCGCGAATTCAGCGTATCCAAGTCACGCAGAGGGGTATCTAACATGGCTGTCCCGAGCTGGAACCACGTGTTTTTTCATGCTCAGGCCACCCAGGGAGATCTCTAACATGATTGTCCCGAGCTGGAACCACGTGTTTTACGTGTCCAGGCCACCCAGGGGGTATCTCTCATGGTTGTCCCGAGCTGGCACCGTGTTTTTACGTGTCCAGGCCACCGACACGACGCTTGTCCCCAGCACGTTCTGGAGCGCGTCCCCTTGGCACGTCTCGCGGTGCGTCCCCGTGGCACGTCCCCTGGCACGTCGCCTGGCGCGTCCCTTGGAACGTTCCGCGGCGCGTCTTCCTGGCATGTTTCCTTGTCAATTAGCTCTGCGGCAGCTACTGCGTGGACTATGTGCTCAGGCAGCTCGAGCTTAAGATCCAGATCAGTTCGGCCAGGACTCGGATGCAACGGAGGACTCGATCCACAACGCGGTAGAGCACAATCGCGGCATGGCACATCGCAGTTCAGCACGGCGCAGCACAGCACAGCCCTCGGCACATTACATCAAGATCGGTACACTCACTCAGCATTGCAACTTGGCACGTTCTTTGGCACGTTCCGTGGCGCGTCCTGTGGCGAGTCCCCCTGGCACGTCGCGCGGCGCGTCCCCTGGCACGTCCCGTGGCACGTCCATAATGCATTGGCACGTTCCGTAGCGCGTCCCCTTGGCACGTCCCGCGGTGCGTCCCCATGGCACGTCCCCTGGCACGTCGCCTGGCGCGTCCCTTGGAACTTTCGGCGGCGCGTCTTCCTAGCATGCCCCCCGTGAATTAGCTCTGGGGCAGCTACTATGTGCTCAGGCAGCTCGAGCTTAAGATCCAGATCAGTTCGATTAGGACTCGGATGCAAAGGAGGACTCGATCCACAACGCTATAGAGCACAATCGTCACGCGGCACATCGCAGTTCAGCACGGCGCAGCACAGCACAGCCCGCGGCACGGTACATCAAGATCGATACACTCACTCAGCATTGCAGCTTGGCACGTTCTTTGGCACGTTCCGTGGCGCGTCCTGTGGCGAGTCCCCCTGGCACGTCGCGCGGCGCGTCCCCTGGCACGTCCCGTGGCACGTCCATTGGCACGTTCCGTAGCGCGTCCCCTTGGCACGTCCCGCGGTGCGTCCCCGTGGCACGTCCCCTGGCACCTCGCTTGGTGCGTCTCTTGGCACGTCCCGTGGCACGTCCATTGGCACATTCCGTAGCGCGTCCCCTTTGGCACGTCCCGCGGTGCGTCCCCATGGCACGTCCCCTGGCACGTCGCCTGGCGCGTCCCTTGGGACGTTCTGCGGCGCGTCCTCCTGGCATGTTCCCTTGTCAATCAACTCTGGGGCAGCTACTAGTTATGTGCTTAGGCAACTCGAGCTTAAGATCCAGATCAGTTCGGTCAGGACTCGGATGCAAAGGATGACTCGATCCACAGCGCTATAGAGCACACTCGTGGCATGGCACATCGCAATTCAGCACGGCATAGCACAGCACAGCCCTCGGCACGGTACATCAAGGTCGATACACTAAGCATTGCATTTGCCCGTCGCCCAATCAGGTGTCTTTGAAACGTTGCCATGTCTTACATTTCTATATTCCTTTCCGGGTTCGTGGGTCGATCATGTTAGTAGGTTTACCCCCCGGCCCCCCTGCGACTTGGGCCGGCGAAATTATTTTGCGAGCGGGCACGCACGGAGTAGGGCCGGCGAAATTATTTTTGAGGATGTCTCGAGCGAAACGCTTGTTCCCGGAAAGGGCGCGGGCCCAGGGTTCTCTTTCAGTAGGTTAACCCCCCGGCCCCCCTGCGACTTGGGCCGGCGAAATTATTTTGCGATAAATTACGTGCGGGAGTAGGGCCGGCGGAATTATTTTTGAGGATGTCCCTAGCGAAACGCTTGTTTTTCAGAATTTGTTGAGGATGTCTCGAGCGAAACGCTGGTTTTGCAGAGTTGGGGATGTCTCGAGCGAAACGCTTGTTTTCAGAATTTGTTGAGGATGTCTCGAGCGAAACGCTGGTTTTGCAGAGCCGACCGCGACGCGGAAAAGCGCCCCGCGCGCAGGAATTCCGATGATGTTTCGCGCGTGCCGCGTCCCGCGCGCAGGAATTTCGAGGATGTCTCGACTAATTCGTTTGTTTTGCTAGGATTTCCTTGAATTTTGGCAGGATGTCTCGAGCGAAATGCTTGTCTTTCATAATTTGTTGAAGACGTTTCGAGCGAACCGCTGGTTTTGCAAAATTGGGGGATGTCTCCAGCGGGGGCCTCGTGGGGGGCCTCGTGGGGGTCCAGAATTCAGAGGATGTCTCAGGCGAAATGCTTGTTTACACGTCCCGCTCGCAAGAATTTCGAGGATGTCTCGCGCGTCCGCGCCCCGCGCGCAGGAATTCTGAGGATGTTGGCAGGATGTCTCGAGCGAAACGCTTGTCCCCAGCACGTTCCGTAGCGCGTCCCCTTGGCACGTCCCGCGGTGCGTGCCCATGGCACGTCCCCTGGCACGTCGCTTGGCGCGTCCCTTGGGACGTTCCGAGGCGCGTCCTCCTGGCATGTCCCCTCTGTCTATTAGCTCTGGGGCAGCTACTATGTGTTCAGGCAGCTCGAGCTTAAGATCCAGATCAGGACTCGGATGCAAAGGAGGACTCGATCCACGAGGCTATAGAGCACAATCGCGGCATGGCACATCGCAAGTCAGCACGGCGCAGCACAGCACAGACTTCGGCACAGTACATCAAGATCGATAGACTCAGCATTGCAACTTGGCACGTTCCTTGGCACGTTCCGTGGGGCGTCCCTTGGCGAGTCCCCCTGGCACGTCGCGTGGCGCGTCCCCTGGCACATCCCGTGGCACATCCATTGGCACGTTCCGTAGCGCGTCCCCTTGGCACGTCCCGCGGTGCGTGCCCATGGCACGTCCCCTGGCACGTCGCTTGGCGCGTCCCTTGGGACGTTCCGCGGCGCGTCCTCCTGGCATGTCCCCCTGTCGATTAGTTCTGGGGCAGCTACTATGTGTTCAGGCAGCTCGAGCTTAAGATCCAGATCAGTTCGGTCAGGACTCGGATGCAAAGAGGACTCGATCCACAACGCTATCTAGAGCACAATCGCGGCATGGCACATCGCAGTTCAGCACGGCGCATCACAGCACAGATTTCGGCATGGTACATCAAGATCGATACACTCAGCATTGCAACTTGGCACGTTCCGTGGGGCGTCCCTTGGCGAGTCCCCCTGGCACGTCGCGTGGCGCGCCCCCTGGCACGTCCCGCGGCACGTCCATTGGCACGTTCCGTAGCGCGTCCGCTTGGCACGTCACGCGGTGCGTGCCCATGGCACGTCCCCTGGCACGTCGCTTGGCGTGTCCTTTGGGATGTTCCGCGGCGCGTCCCCCCGGCATGTCCCCCTGTCGATTGGTTCTGGGGCAGCTACCATCTGCTCAGTCAGCTCGAGCTTGAGATCCAGATCAGTTCGGTCAGGACTCGGATGCAACGAGGACTCGATCCACAACGCTATCTAGAGCACAATCGCGGCATGGCACATCGCAGTTCAGCACGGCGCAGCACAGCACAGATTTCGGCATGGTACATCAAGATCGATACACTCAGCATTGCAACTTGGCACGTTTCCTGGGGCGTCCCTTGGCGAGTCCCCCTGGCACGTCGCGTGGCGCGCCCCCTGGCACGTCCCGCGGCACGTCCATTGGCACGTTCCGTAGCGCGTCCGCTTGGCACGTCACGCGGTGCGTGCCCATGGCACGTCCCCTGGCACGTCGCTTGGCGTGTCCTTTGGGATGTTCCGCGGCGCGTCCTCCTGGCATGTCCCCTCTGTCGATTGGTTCTGGGGCAGCTAC